ACTGACTGATATCTCTCTCTCTCTCTCGCTCTCTCTCTCTCTCTCGCTCTCTCTCTCTCTCTCTCTCTCTCTGTCTCTCTCTCTCTCTCTCTACATGGACTTTCAACTGGTGAGGATGCTGACCTGGGGCTTTTTTTGTGCGATTACAGCAATTTGCATTTTTTTTCAACTTTTGTGTCAGTCATTAGTACTTTGACACAGAACATGAATATTATCTGACAAAATATGCCAATGTATCAACTGTACAGACATTAGCTGCAAGATCTTCACCACATTGCTAGCTTAGGCCTACGGCTAACGCTTATACAGTTGTTGTCCAGCTGTCAAATACGCACAAATGTATACGAATATTTGCTTGGCTCTGTACCTGAACACACCTTTATTGTTATAAGTATGAATGGGCCAAATGGAAGGTCAGACTATTTTTGTTTTTAGCATTTTAGCATTTTCACTTCACAGGATAAAAGGCGTTTAGGGTGAGGACTTAATGTATTCGGCAAACACTATACTGAGTATCGCTGGATGGAGTAAATGGTGTGTAAACTTCCCCAAATCCAATAAACAGCTACACAGAGCCACTACCAGTAGCCTCTGGTATCTCTGTTAGTATCCAAGACTAAGCCCCACATAGTGGGGAAATACTACATGGTGGATGTGCTCACTGTGAGCACCCCTGTTGGGCATTTCTTACGTAACCTCCAATCTGTGCACCTTATATTTTGTGCTCTCTTGCCTATAATTACTTTGCACATCCCCTCAGTAAAATGCACAAACTAGAAACAAGATTAAAGAGAGAGTTATTCCCACTCTCTCTTTTTCTCTTTTGTGTGTCGTGTAATGCATTGCACCACGCTCTGAGTCAGTCAACCTGACTGGGAACAGGGGTGCTCACAGTAATAAAAGGATCTAACAAGCATAACTCAGCAATGGAAAACTAATTTTCCGTCTCTCTACATAATTTTCCGTGTTATCTGGCAAATTGATACACCGCAGAGTGTTATGTCTCCGATCTCAAAACCATCCATCACTGATCACAGAGGGAGACAATGAAATGACCTGTGTTTCATTTTTGTTTTCGAGTACTCTCTGCAGCTGTAACAGTGTAGAGCATAATGGATTCTGGCTTCTTTGCTCCCACTTTGGGGAAGTAGAAAGGCCAGGATCTCTTGTAATCACGCAGCTCATCTGATCTCAGAAGGCAGGCTCATCACTCAGACAGGTGAGCAGCTCAGGGTCTTTAGAGAAAAGGGACTTGTGAGGAACAATGGCTTGGACCATGTCTGGCACATTGAATGCATTCTGGCAATGGGTTCAGAGCAGATCATCCACCATGTTATTTCTACTGAACAAACTCAAGAGGAAATTAAAACCAGTCTGTCCATGAAATAATATTCAACTCACCAAAATATCTTTTGATGTCCTATGGTGAAAGTACCATTTGAATTACTCTTTAGAAGCAGCAACAACATCCTTTGTATAACTTTTAAATTATTTTCTAATACAGGCTTGTGTGAAAGATTATTCTAGTTCAGTACATTAACTTCCATGCTCACAAAAACAGAAGGCTTCAGAAAATAACACAGCTTTTGCTATCACAGGCTTTTACAACAACAAAAAACACTGAGCAATCCTTTCATAAAGTTTTTGTGGTATGAACCATAACCTTTTGTGCCTAAAACCTTAACCTGATGAACTGTTTTGGTTCTCTTCAACCTGTTTTGTTTTTAGTAAAAAAGCTCTAAAAAAACCCTCTACGCCACCTGCCTCTCACCAATCAGAACAAAAGAGTGGGGCATTTAGCTGCTAACGAGCCAGAAATTTGCATCAGCAGTTGGTGGAGATCTAAACAGAGCTTAAGGGAAAGAAAATAGTGGACATACAAGTGAATGCTAATGTCTGCTGGATAAGTAAACTGCCATCTGCTTGCTAAGTCGTTCACCGTTTGCATCTTTTTAAGGTGATGATATGTAAAAAAATGTATTTACAACAGCAACATAAACCAATTGTTTTGATCAATTAAACATGTTGTATAATATATCATATGAACAAATCATCATCCTCGATACAAATTCCCTAACCCTCCGAAAACTCTCGGGGTTCAGTGACTTAATATTTTAGTCATAACCACAAGCAAATTGTTGCTTAGCTGCACAGCAGGTGGTCACAGCAGGAAATCACATTTGTAACATTTCTCAATTAAAATACCCCAAAACTTTGGAATCAAAGATTTAAATGCAAAGCTTGCTCTAAAAACTTTTGTTTGCGACTTTGCTGGAAATCAATATAACAACTGTAGTTATTATTCAAGCTTTAGGCATGAGATCATTATCTTACAGTACTACTGTAGCCTCCTGGATAACTGTGAATGCTGCATTAGTGAATCAAAGGCATCATTTGGCACATAAAAGGGTTTTTCTCATGCTGCTGGCAATGTTGTGTTATTAACATTTTTATTTTTATGCTGTAAAAATTCATCTTGCCCTGTGAAACAGTGAAATTGTCTCGTAAGTTTGGGAATTCAGTGCCCACAGTAACAATAGGGTTTATTTTCTAGCCTGAAAATGATCTAATAAATGTTTCATCAGAGGAATCTCGGCTGAACCAAAAAAAATCACACAAAATATGACCACACATATTGAAAAAAATCTGTGATATGATTGATAATAGCACTGTCTCAAACTCAAGAAATTTGGCCAACTAGTTGCTAAGTCAGCATGTAAATTAACAAGGAGACCTTGTCAAAGTTTCTCAGCACGATATTCAGAGAGAGATTGCCTCCACACGGCTCTCAACATGGCAGCTAACGATGCAAACAGTACAAACAATGACAACAGTGCTGACAGAGCGCGTTAAACAGTGTTTAACGCTTCTGCAACAATGTTTTCAGCTGAAACAGCCCATTGGCACAGTGCAGTGCTGTGGATTAGAGCCAGTGGGGCACAATAGGGAAACTCGGATTACAAGACACGCAAAGGGAAAGTGACTTCGTTGTTTGCTGCTGTATTAATGCACTAAATATTGTTTTGAGAAAGTTTAAATCAGGCTCTAAGGAAAAAATATCAGCATGTCCAATACTCTTTCCTACAGAAGCAGCTGAGCAGCTCTGCTGTGATACATACGGTTCTCCTACTAAGACATAATCCCTCTTTTAGCCACGTCTGCAAGTTTGGCCTTTACAGAAAAGGTTATAGATGAAGGACAGCATTTCCTGCTCTGCTCGGCTCCCAGCATACTTAATGACCTGGTATGGGAATTCCTAGACTTTCCTTGACAACTTCTTGACTTGGAAAGTGTATAAGTGTATCCATTATTTGGATACACTGGTGCTGCCCTGAATACAGATAGCTTGAGTTTGTTAGTGTAGAGGAATCCTGCTGACAACCCCGACAGTCCAAAGAGACCTTTAGAAACAAAGCAACTTGAAACTTCTTGCCTGCCTTAGGCATAATTATTCTCTGCAGAGACAGAAGGGTCGTTTTATCAGAATTTGAGTTTTGGATGAGACAAAGAGAGTAAATACAATTATAATATGTGAAAATCCAAAATTGTATCGGCCAGATACACTATATTTTGCATTTAAGCAATAAGTATATGTCTTAGCTGTTCCAGTCTTATTTCACTTCACAATGAACTGTATAATGTACCCTTGGATAAATTAGTGACAAGCAGGACAAGCAGTGCACTGCACCAGTATTTGCAGAGCTGGAGCTATTCAACACCACAGCACACACTTTAAGTGTAATTGGCTTCAACAAGCGTATGTATTCCCGCTGGTACAATGACAGTGAGAGATCCTTATTGCAGTCAAATAACACAACGTTTCTGTCAATTACAGCTTACACTCCTTTGAAAATGAGGGCCTAACAAGCTGGGCTCGACCATCCAAGTCAGAGGCTTTCTTCCAATATTCAGCTCAGAATGCAAAAAGAATCATCTGTCCATCAAAAGTATCATCCCTCATCAATTATTCATGATAGAGCTGACCAGTTGACTTTAGATTCATGCAGCAAGTTTCACAACAGGACACATAATTGCTATATATATAACACCAAAACATAGTGAGAGCCTTGAGATCAGGGGTGTCTCATTATTGTTACACGCTGATCAAAGAAGCTATATCGAGCCTGTCATCAGGTTGCATGAATACACCTCAAAATACTTATAACAATTCCAAAAAATTAATCAGGCAAACTGTGGATCAAAGGTTTGCTGGAGGAAAGTTTAGAAGAAAAAGGAAACATTACAAGGTGCTGTCATGCTGAATATTACTGTTGCAAAGGAGAAATAAACTGCAGTTTGTTGGTTTTACCAGGCGGATCATGACTATTTTAAAAGACACACAAGCATCACTGAAATAGTAAACATAATGAGCCCGGCGCCAAATCTCGACACTGCAACCCTTAAGTGTACAGCACAAGCACATGTATCCGCATATGCACGCACCATAGGCGTGCTATCGATAAGAGCAGCTTCAAAGCTCTCCAGTACAGTTAGTGGTGAAGTTCTACAAGATACTACAAGAAGGCCCAGGTTTAAAGCAATTATCCATCCTGCTCTATGGTTGAGAGCATTCCAATTAGAGAAACATGAGCAACTCTGCATCTCTCTTTCCGGCTACAGCTGGATGAGAGGTCTGGCTCACTATTAGGCTAAATTCTGACATGATTAGCATAAAAGAAGAGAGTGGTAAGGGATTTTAATGCTTGTTTGATGACCTACAGCGCACTGGAGCATACTACTTTGACAAAACAACACTATTTAGGAAAGGAAGAATATAAGGCCCAAATAAATCCTCTACCAATTCTAAATCCGACAGTAAATCTGAACAGCGTAACAATTTCAATTGAATTGCACCCTGGATAGACTTCTCTCTCTTCGTGGTCCTTTATAAAGTTAGTAACCTTTAGAAGTAGAGCACTGCTCATGTAAAATTCAAAAAGCCTTGAAGCGGGGTTGCTCTGTCAGTGCCTGTTTGTATCCATTGTGCCATGTGTTCCTACCTGGGAGACAGGAACCGTGGACATTTTGACACGTTGTTGAAACAGCACACTCAGTATGCGGTTTTGCTGCTCCAAGTCAAAGACACGGGTCCGCAGCTTCACACACTCCTCTTTCAAGTCCTAGAAACCCCCCAGAGAGAAGAAGAATGGACAGATAAGTGCAAATGACGGGGATATTTCAGAAAACCACCATGTGTACCAGATGCTAATTCAACAGGAACAGGACTCAAAGCTGTATTCCTGCAAGATGAACACGGCAGTGCTCTAAAACATGGTCAACTGTGTTAAAAAAACAACATGGATCACAGGCATTTTGCAGATGAATCCTCATATTGTAAGAGTGCTTTCTGTTGAGAAATATTGAAATATGCTCTATGAAGATCAATATGTGGTCTGGCACATTCATTTATCTAAACAAAGGACTCCATATTCAAAGGGTAGAAGAAAATGAATTATATGTAATCATATACATATACATATAGAATTGAAGCGAATAGATTGGCCCCAATGTCCCCGATACCCAATCAAGATATTTGAGTCAGTATGGGCTCGTTATCTGATATACTGGTATTGCTTCATCCTTAGAATTTATAGGGATTTTACTTTTACATTTATTTCCTATTTTATTTTCTAAAGCCATCAGATCCATGACTCAAGTCTGACTTGTGTCTATGTCTGGTAACCCAAAAGGATTTAAGATTCTACTGTTGAAGATCATGCGGTTTGACATGTGCCGCTAATCTTTCTCCATGTTGGTGACATGCAGTTACTGATCATTGTGACAGTTATCATATCCCTGACGGATTCTAATGGCTGACAGGATTAACGACACGTCAATGCTGCAGAGACAAAGACAAACCTTCTGTGTGAGGAGGGCCTGGACCACCTGGTTAGCCACCTTGAAGAGAGTTGAAAGAAAGGCAGTTAGAATATGTAAAAAAAAAATGCATTATGAGTCTGGCAATTATTTGGATTTCAGAACTTTCTGTGGAGCTTTGAAATGGAGAGAGACTGTAAATGAAAACGAGCCAGTGCAAACAGCATCAGAGAGAATCTAGAGGCATGTAAGATGCTGTGAGGACGAATTGACAGCGTGTTGCATCACAAAGTCCGATTTAGTGAAATCACACAGCAGCTGCCTGCAGTTAGTCCACGTAACTTTATTCTCAGCACATAAATAAAACAAAATAGAGTAAAAAAAAAAAATCTGAACAAATGTCTTTTTTGAGAGAATGTTTCTTTTTCTACCTACAAAATGCGTCTGCTGACCTGAATGCATGTATCAGACTCACCAAACTTTTGTCTTCTTAATATTTGATGAAAAAGGAAAATCATTTGTTTAGTTTTTGTTGTTAATATAAAAAGGTATAATCTGAAATGTCTTCTTTCCTGCTTATAATGTCTGAAGCGGAAGCATAATATACCGTGACACTGGAATAATAATGTTTCCACTTTTGAGTGCCTCAAAATGATTCCCCTCTGCCTCTTTCATCTATCTACCAAAACAACTCGCCTCGGCTCATTTACACCATGACAGGAAGCCTTCTGAATGCTTTCACCCCCAAAAAAAAGATTAATGTGCATAATAAGACTGAAAAGCAGGAGAAGAGAAATTCATCCCACAGCTGAAACTCTAAAATGTCTGTCCTCAACCAGAGTATGTTAAATTCTCATGGGCAGCAGTCTCCATGGTAACAAGCCCATTAGTGAAGCCCGCTAAAAAATAAAGTGGATCAGTCTTGCTGACTGGAGAGAGACGAGTGAAAAGAAGGGAAAGAGATGGAGAGACAATCAAAGGGTTGTCAGGGAGAAAAGGAGTGCAGGCAGACACGCCACATGCAGGAGCTGAGAATCGGCCCTCCTGAGTGGTGAGGCTCGCTTCTCCAGCTCTCATTCTTATATCGCCCGTGGCTCTGTTGTCTGTCCACTTCAATTAGAGATGTTCCCTTCTCTTGGCTCTCCTCTATCGACTGCACTAACACCGTAGATAATAGGCTGAGTGTGTAAGTGTGTCTCTAGCTAGAAGCTGATAGTCATCTCAAGTCCTCACCATCAGATAACGTTGTCTGGCCTGAAGTTAAAAGTTAGAGAACTATTGTCCAACATTTTGGGATTTTTTTTTGTTTACATTCACTTTCCTATCAAGAGTGAGGGGTAGAAATTGATACCACTCTCATAAATGTGCAGGAGCTGTAAACCAGGTTAGCCTAGCTTAGCATAACAACTGGAGGCAAGGGGAAACAGCTAGCCTGGCAGAGTCGAAAGTGAAAAAGATCCACCAGCCAGCACCCTTGAAAGCTCTAAAACATGTTGGGTCTTGGTTGTACATAACACTACACCATTAGCTTGCTGTGCAAACGGGAAAAATAATACACACACTTCCAAAGCTCCTACAAAAATAAACTTTAGAAAGTTAACAACTGTCCAAACTTATAGTGGAGTGTATTGTGACAAATCAGTGGAATACTGCCTTAATTAATGAGCTAGCTGTTTCCCCTTGCAGCCAGTCTTTATGCTGAGCTAAGCTAATCAAATCCTGGCTACGGCTTCATATTAACCCTACAGACATGAAGTAGGGAATAAGTTAGTTTTCTTATTTCTTCAGAATCAGTTGTTAGCATTATGTTGACATTGTGGAAATATTACACAAGCAATTATATTTTGCCCTGCAACTATTGCTATACTGCAAACCAGTACTGACATGCGATACATCTGTCATTTCCAATAGAAGATAAGCTAAATGGTACCACTGTTTGAAAATGTATTGTGGGACGTGTGGAGCGTAACAGTACAAGCAGTGAAGATAGATAGTAAAATTTCAAAAGGCAGTAGCACTCACCTCATCCAGACAGCGTTCATACTGCTTCCTCTGATTGTCGTTTTCCATTGACAGAGCAGAGTTCTCAGCCTGTAGAAAACACAGACAGATAAACTGCATGAATTACATAAAATATAATTTAGAAACATCCAGACATAGTTTTTTCGTCTCAGCTGAGAATCGAATACACAAGATAAATAATATGATTGTTCCTGCAAAAAAAAACAAGCATCTTTATAACTGTGAGCCTTTGATGATATTTTCTTCTCTCAGACAAACAGAGAAGCAGACCGATGGATAGTGAGGAGGCTCTCTCCCTACAGCACTGTAGAGTTCGCTGGTTCACTGGAGAAAGATCCAAATGAATGAAGCTTTACATTTCAGGCATCCAAACTCCATCGGGCAGAACTTCACAGAGTAGATATACAGTAATTCAATTACTGACTGAGTTTTTGCACGACGGCTAACAAAAAAAAACATTCTTGAAACTCAGGAGGTGACTTTCCACTGAAAATGATTAATCCAGTAAATCTTAAAGGCCATGCTGAGGTGGCTTGTTTTCACTAAAGTGCTGTGAGCAGCTCCTCCGAACAACAGGCTCACAAAACATCTTGGAAATGGCTGATAATCGCAGATATGAGCAGGGTTCAAAATAAGTGGCCACCTCACAGCTAGGCATTGTCTTCAAACCCAAGGAGATAGCCAGAGATAATCACCGCAGTATTTTAACCCGGTTCTCAGTGGTCCACACAAGACGTTTCATTTTCTTTCTTAGAGAGGAATCTTTGGACGGTGTTTAAAAGGCCACAGATCAGCCTGAAGGCTTGCAGCTGGTCTGTGTAAAGGTCAGGGAAGTCCAAGTTATGAGTTTGAACTTTAAGTGTTTGAGCCTTAATATCGTATGGGTTGCGTGAGCTCGACACTTGCTATTGATGTAGCAGTACATCTTTACAAATGAGCATGATTGATTCACATGTTATACAGTAGATTGCAGGTTAAGAGAACAACCTCTCTTTTCAATACATATTGCATTTTGAAATCTTAATTTATAAAAATGAAGGAGCTGTTTTTGCCTCTGCATAAAGTACGAAAATAATATCCAGAGTGTAAACATAAATCACGTGAAAAGATGTAAATGTTTGGTTGCGTGCTTACCGCCATGCTCCCTCATCCTTGTTTTTGCACAGTTATCATGGTTGATCAGCAGCGAGCATCGAATCAATCAGTGTTTCAGACTTAACTGTCAAATTCCACTGACTATTAGTTTTTGGTTGAGAGGAGTCAGTGACTTCACCTCGGTCAAAAAGCACAGCAAGCTCAGTTTGCTTTTATCATTTATCGCTTCACTCTTATTTGTGGAGCATTTTTTTTTTTTTTTATCAGTTTTTCATAGATTATATGGAAGGTACCCAAGTGTGCCATAACGACTGGAAAGTAGTTTCAAACTAAATGGAAAACCTTGTAATGTTTCTCCAGTTCGGCATTAAAGTTTAATTATAAAATAAAGGCAGCCACCATGAAGAGGCAACAGCATGGAAACCACAAAATACACTCAGAATGATCCATTAGGGTCAACAAAGTAGACAAGAAAATTGATGTAATTTAAGGCGGCACTTTATTGTAAAAAATCATCGCTAATGACAGAGTGGTTATGCGGGCTTAGTAGTATGCAAGCATGAGACCACAGTATTAGCAGAGGAAATTAAATATCACTGAAATATCACTGCAATGGTAATATGGTGGAAAATTCAGCAAGCATCCACACTGGTAATTACTTTCACACAATCATTGTGACGTTATCAGGATGTGGGATGCAACTTTGTTGTCTTTGCAGTGATGAGATCAGCTTTGATGCCCGTATGATGTGGTTTGCATTATGCTGCTGGCAATCAATCAATAAAATAATGACAATCTGCCGATGTATTTGTTTGGTCAGTTTGAATTGAATCATTTGCTTGGTTTTCACACTTTATTTACAGTCTTTTAGCAGAGTCACTGCAAGTTTTACATGTTATACATTGTGTTTTTCAGAAAAAGTCAGGCTTTTCACAAATGCCATCACTTTGCATGTGAGCTGTACTCCGTTGCACTATGCATGTTTGGACAAGGACAATTTGTAGGACTTAAATGCTTTTTTGCAATCTAAAATTGTCTGACTTTTTTGTCTGTATGACCTCAGGTTCCACATTCTCACTCCCAACATGTCAAATACCAAGGCTCGCTAAGTGAGCCTAAGCTTCAAACTATGACGATCCCTGCTTTCTTAGAATAAAAAAAAGGCTTTTTCTGTGTCGAACGAGTTTACTCCTGATCAGCCAAGAATTACTTTTTTCATATGTATTTCATAAAAGAGCACCATGGTTACAGCAAAAGTTCCAGGTATGTGGTAGAAGTGGAATTATGAAATTCTATTGGTAAACAAATGTATGTTCCTAAAGCATTGAGGGATAATATGCAACCGCTAAATGAGCTGCAAGGGCAAACGAGCTGCCTACATGTAAGGGTACCAGTAACAGCGCTTGGTTTTGCCTCTAACGGGCTCAGATTGTTATTATAACTGTCTGAAAACGAAATGGAAAGGAGTCTCTACAGAGACTCAAAAAGGTTTTACTTGCCTTTCGTTTGATCCAGTCTGTTTTTTTTAGTGTCCAAGTCCCGCTCAAGGAGAAGTCTCGTAGTGAAATCTGAATATCCCTATACTCGGACCCAAATAAACAAGCCAAGGGCGGCCATTGAATTCAAAGATCTTAATCATCTCATAAGATTTGAGAACGAGACTTCTCCTTGAGCGGGGCTCTTTCCATAATGTTGTCAGACACTTTTAATAACAATCAGAGCCTGCCATGGCAAAACATAAGCACTATTAGTGAATGTAAATTACAGAGCTGGCCTCAATACATTGCATTACATGCTCAGTACCAGACCAATTTCAGAAATTCTTGTCCCTATGCATCAGTTAGACACAAATCATGAGAAAATAGGGTCCAGGTTGAAAAAAATAACTAAGTAACCCTTTAAGGTAAAGCACAATCGTTATTACTGATCATAACTTTAAAAACAACATTAACAAATACGACCATCACAAAATAAAATCCAGTACAACAACTTCAGAATTAGCAAAGTGAATCCTGTTTCTGGGTGGATTTTACCTTTAGGCTTGGCTTTTGCAGGAGTTATAAAAGTGTGATCAATAATAGCTGGGAGACCTCTCACAGAATGGCAAGTCCTATTACCTTCAGCAGGCAAGGTGTGACAGCGAGGCACACTGTACATTCACTGGAACACTGGCTGCAAATGTTAACTACCCTGTCAGCATTTTAATTATCACTTTCCGATTTGAATAACTCCTTTGTATCCCACTGTTCCCCGTCTTGCCCCTTGCACCGCTCTGCAGCATAATGGGGTCTCATTTTCTGTGATCTCATTTTTAAAGATGGATAGAGCAGCGATGAAACACTGATTGTGCTTGTTTCTCACCTACACGGCTCACTGGTATTTCAGCGGGTAAACAAAGCTACACAGACTCGGGTGCTATGAATGACACGCGACGGTGGTTAATGATCATTTCCTTCAAACAAGTTCATGCTTTTCATTTGATAACTGACAAACTTTCATGGGTACAGCGTTGAGGAATCCAGTACCTGAGGCAGCTTTTGAATTATTTTGATGCATCTCAGATTCCACTAATGATTGAATGTAGTCTAGCCCTCGGCAAGCAAGTTTCACCACAACACCCAGTCGAACACAACAAAAATAGCAATTCAAAGCGATAGTGGGGCAATTCTAAAGGTTTGATGAAGGCCAGTAAGACAAAATTAAAATTTAATGGCCAGATTTGGTCCACAGGCCACTTTTTGCCTACCTGTGCTCTAGCGAAAAAAAAGTGCTCATTAATTTTTTTTAAATTAATCTGCATAAACAAACACTCAAAGTGTTACCTAATGCCATGTCACTTCTTTAACAACCCTTACCCTGTAATCCTTTAATTTAAATCTTGTAGTGATCAGACAGACCATAATGTAACCACTACAATAATGTTCAGTCCTTGGAAAAACAGCCTTGTGTGCCGTCCTTGAGCTGCCCAATTATTCCAAGTCTCTATTGAAATACGTCTGATAAAAAAAGAGAGAGTGGTACTCTCAATATATCGATCAATGTGACATTTCAGGGATGGGAAAAGGGAGGAGTGGGGAAATGGGGAACAGTAGGGGGAAGGGGAAGAAGTGGACCATGCAATCCACTTTACCTCCAGGGCTCGGAGTCGCTCTAGCAGGGGATTGCTGTCCTTTGAATTTTCATCTGACCCTCCGCCAGCCTCGGGCGAGGCAGGCATCTCTGCTGCTGTGGCTGTGGGACCCTCCAGACTGTCTTGCTGCTTCCACATTTCCTCCAGGAGTTTGTCCTGAAACGCAGTGAGAGCGGATCAAAGACGCGCATGCCTTCAAGTCACAAAGAAAATGAAAAATGCATTCTTCATCATTGTGGGCTCCACTTATATTAGCAATAAATCTTGATAAACGACACCCTAACTGCATTTATAAAACTTCCACTTCACTTCAAAGTTCATAAACCCAGAATACTTTCATTGGTGACATTGCATCAAATGACCCCCCGTTATGTATGAGACTGTCAGTACTGTCAGTCTCCCTGTGGAATCAACACTTACTGTGAAGCTTCAGCAGAATTGTAGCCTTTTTGAGCTTCGGTTCACTGAGCTGTATGGTTGACTAGTTACATCCCAAAAACTACCCAAGTGCACCTGCTGTTTTCGGTTCATGTATGCGCAACGGAGCAAAGTGCAAAAGGGCTGGGTGAAGAGGAATATAAATTGGAGGGTGTGTTGACTTATAAATACACTCTCAGCCAGTCACATCGCTGGTCACATCGCTGGTCTCATCGTTAAACACCGAGAATCAGTGTCTCCAGAAAATCACGTTGTTGTACTTCTCTGGAGGATGCAGAGCAACGTAATCTGAACATACAGCATCACAAACCCACAGAAGCACACAGGGATTTTAACGTTAATTAGTCAAATTAAATTAATAACAATAGACTTTGGTGAAACAGTTTATATGACTGCATCAATCCAATGCTATTTCATTCATATTCCTACTGTATTTTCATGCTGTAAATGGTCACATCATAATTTAAAATGTTAATTTTGAAATGCAATTCAAGAATAAAGAACGAAACGCTGATTTAACAATCATTTTAACAATTGAAAAGGAGGCTGAGGTATAAATGAGCCCTGGTAATCTGACGTCTCCACAGAACACAACAGAACCCTGAGTTGTAAAGGACCAGTCTTATGTGTGCAGAGGTGTGTGTGTGTGTGGTTATTTTGTAGCAGCCTGAGGTCTTTTGCACGTGATTTGATGAAGGTAAACTCAGTGGATGGCCGCGTGTAATGGCACAGTGCTCTTCTCTAATAAAAGGCTGTCCTGCTTTTGTCTCCGACTGCTTTCAGATGGCTGCAGGGACTCAGTGAACTGAAGGAGAAGCTATTCATTTGGTATAAAGCAGCTGTGGACAAAGAAACTCATATTAACTTACAGATAAACGCAGACTGATAACGATGTTCCTGCCTTAACCACATTGAAAGATGTTTTTGATGCTGATTGAAACGCACCTACTGGTTGGAGAGTGATTCATTTCAATGGTTTATTTAAATTTTTAAGTTATTGCTGCGCATTTGCTCCAAAATTAAGTTTGCTCTCATTTGATAAGAAGTAATACCGTGACGTCTATTCTTAAAGGTAAAGTCCAATGACCAATTTTCACTGGTTGTTGGGATGCCAGAAAAGTAAGGCTCTGAAAGTCTTTCTCTCTCCTCATATGAATGCTTTTAATGTGAAAAACATCAGGTTGAGTTGACGGAAAATTAACAGATGGATCAGGCGTATGATAAAGAAGAAACAACTGGATTTAATTGGAGTATAAAATGATGCTCTCTGTTGAAAAAGAGAAACTGAGAGCAGCAGAGTGGTACATATAACATAACTCTTTTTTTTGTTTTAGGCTACAGGTAATTCCCCTCCTATATGTTTCTTTTTTATTGGTCTTAATTGTTTGTTCCATTGACTATTTTTTGAGATTCCGCCTATATTTGAAAACTTTTTTTAGCGATTTTATGGTCAGTGTTTTGTCAGTGTTTTCTAAAAGACCAATCTAATCCAAAATACTGTATTAGGATTTTGATCTTCCCCTTAATTATTAAGCCCTCGTACAGTTTAGGAAACTAAAACTAGACAGACTGTTGTTAGGAGAAGAACCAAACCTGCTATCTCCAGAGTCAGATGATGTTGTATCTAACAACACTACTCACACTTTCACTGTCTTTGCTACTCAGAGAGGATAGTCTTCACTGCACAGTGACAAGAGGTCACTTGTAAGGAAAACATATTTATTTGTTTGAACAAATGCACGTTTTCTGGTTAGAACCGTCGCTCCGGCTCACAAGCTCAGACAAGCTGGGTGTACACTTCCTGCCCAGTGTGAAGTGGCAGAGTGGAATATTTACCAAGACAAAGAGAGACAAATATTTTCAGCTTTTAACGCTGAATGTATTCATGGCCAGAGAGCAGCAGCACTGGAGCTGGTAGTGGTATTGAGCTCAGTGGTTCAGCTATGATTGTCACATGTCCTTGCAATTCTGCATTTGCAGGGAAGTGATTCAGTTGAAGCCTTGACTTTCCTCCGAAGGGTTCAAGTGTCCCTGTAGTAGGTATTGACTTAGATTTTAATTTTTTTATTTTAAGTGCTAACTCCCAGGAAATGAACACCGCTTTAAATAAATCAGCTTTCATCTCAATTGGCTGCATTTTTGTTGCATGCATTTTAATCTTGATAGAGGAAATTATAAACGTGACTGGAAACATGAAGCCATCATCTGAAAAAGATCAATCGTAAGCCTAATGGCAAATCATCCATATAGGATTTTCTGAAGCGTTATATCTGCAATCTGGATGATGAAAAGTGGAGAAAAAAAATCAATTGCTCCCATATTTTACAGTTCTGTAATAGTGCACGAAAAAAGCTCAAACTACTGTTTCACTTTATCATCTCAAGTTTTTCAGTTTCTTGACAATACTTCATTTGATTCAGATCAAAATGGTTTGCGCAAAGAACAGCATAAATATCAGTGTTATAAAACCATAATAATACCAAAGGACTTAGTGACCGGTGGTCCCTCTTGTACCTTGTATGCTTTCATGAGGTCCAGTGGGTCCACCTTGGGCCCTTCCAGTGAGTCCTGGTTCTGGAGTAGCGTCCGCACCGTCTCCTCCATGCTGCGTTCAAGAAGAAAACAGGCAAAGTGGTCAGAGTAACCCACTGGATGGCAGGAAGTGCTAGAGAATCAAAAACGCAATGGGCATGATGGAAAAAAACTTTGAATCTAAAGTTGAAGTGAACATTTTAAAACCATTCTAAAAGCTCAACTAGTTGACCAAACACTGTATATTCACATACACATGAGATGCATTTTGAGCGTTTCTAAGATTATCACAATTGAAGATTTAAATATATATAACGATTATGAGGATACACCTTTGTTTACATTTGGATCACTGCCTTTATGTAATAGCTTATGACAAAGCACACACTGAATAGGGAAATTAACAATGTCTGCAGAACAATGAAATGTTTCCAGCTCGGTGAGTACAGTAATGAAGCTGCTAATTGGATGCAAAGCTATAGAAATGAGGGGTTGTGAAGCTGATACACCTGTTGATGGAAGTTCTCATGTTATGGGGACATTTCTCTTTTAAAGAACACATTTCAGCATTTGCAATGACTGCATAGGTTACACTGTTAAAGCTGCAATTGAATTTATGTCATGCTGTGTTGTACTATTTATACTTAAACAGGCAGATTAACAAGAAAGAGTTCAGCTGTTTAAAGTTTTAATTGATTCCCTGAAACCAACATGTTTCTGCAATCTGCCTTCAGAAGAATCACATAACACATAAAACACTGTGGCTTTAATGAGGAAGAACTGATATTTTGGCCACTTTGGGGCAGCAGAAATGAAATGTGAACACTTCATTGACATATCATCACCTTTCCATGTTGATGTGGGAAACGTGTTAGCAAACAGTTTCTAATTCCAGCAGATACAAAGTAACATTACCAATAATTTGGAGAATATCTTTTTTCTTTTCTTGCAGAGCGCAGCAATATAAGTGACCTCTTTCACATTGCACATAGTTATTGATCCATTAGTTAACATTTTAAAAAGATTGTAGCGCAGATTTATTGTTTGATTTCAGGTATTATCTGACCCAAATTAGATATTCAAATTTTCTAAAATCATGCCTGAAAATTCTGATTATGAATAGTTTTCTTATTCACATTGTCACATTGTCCTTAGACATATACTACCTCCACATATTAATAACACTTCGCAACATACAACCTCGGCTGACATTTGCTCCAATAGCTTCCACTGCAGTGTAGTCTTGCCTTGTGATTTTGTAATTGTTTTCCCTCCGAGCTGTCTATGCTTGATAGACACTGACCATGTTCCGCATAGTGTTGTGCGCAGTGACATTTTGCTCTGTCACTTCCAAAGCAGCTTCTCCCCGTGTATGATGCATGTGGCACAGTCTTTAGCACTAGCTGCTGACTGTGAGCACACCAATGGCATTCCTGGCCCAAGCCACTAGCCACCAACCTGAAACAAACCCGGCCAAAATGAAATCAGCGGGTGAGGTGGTGGCGGTCACGAATCCGTCAAACTGAATCAGATGCACGATGCCACCCTCTGTTACCACCAATGCTCTCTGAAGTGATAGTGAGGAGTACAAAGGTCACATCTTCAGCATCTACTCCACTAATGAGAGTGTATGAGTTAACACATCTTCCTGTGTGCCCTGTATGAATACATCTGATACTAAATCTACTAAAGGTATTATTATACAAATCTTTTTCGGCATCTTTTGGTTATGTTTCACAGCATCTGAGCCTCAACATCGCGAAATGAAACTGTCGCAATTTACCATCGATAATTTTATCATTTTATAATTTTAACACTGGTGCCGGTCCTCCTTAAAGTTTTCTCTCCTCGTGCTTCCTCCTCACAAAGTCGCACAAATCCACCTGACTCCATTCAACATTCATGTTATTCTCAGCAATATTTCATTCAAAGCCTCCACTTTTTCCCCACTCTGTAGTCATTCAGCCCATGCTGCTTTCCAAACTGAACTCTCACCGGTGCTGGTCATTTGAGATGAGGCTAACCACACGGCTCCTCAGCCTCCTCGGCTCAGACTTTGTCATTACTTTGTGTTTGTGATTGGGCACTGAAGGGAAAGTGGGTCTCTTGGTCTCCCAGTGGACGATGTGGGGAATAATGTGCAGCCGAGTGCTCTCAGAAAGGGGAAAAACAAGCTCCTACCCTGTTCGGCTCTAACCTAACAAGGCCTCGTACTCTCTTCGCCATCCCAGACTCATGACTGCAGTCTAGCAGAAGAGATGTCTGCGGTCTGATTGTCCCCGTGTGTTCAACCTCCTTTCAGAAGTGCTGCTGAATGAACGCTGAATTGTTGTTTTGTGCTAACTTACTTCGGATTTGTAAAAATGTCTGTTGCATTGTGGTTCTGGCCACATTGTAAAAACTCACAAGAGACAGATTAATACTGCTTTCACAGGCTGCGCTGGATTCCCTGTGACTCATAAACTGACCTTTACATGTAAAATCATTGTTCTTTTGAGACAAGAAACGCACCAGAACATGACAACGGCAACACTGCGCTGTTGACAATTGACTTGTGCTGCGTTGCAACGACTTTTTGCTACGTTAAGCAGACTGTAAAGCGCATCTAAATCACGTTGTGTCTGAAACAACACAGGGCATGCACAGAAGACAAAAAAAAAAACCCCAAAACAATATTCTCTTTTATTTCAAACAATTGCATCTTTAATGAAGCCATTTTGAAAGTTGTGTTTGAATGCCTGATCAATCTCAGAACCCATTGGCTGTCGGTCTGAATACGTCTAAGCCTCTAGCGGCAAGGGGCTATATTTCTGGGGTTGCGGTGTAGCCAGATATCCGGGCCAAGACTTCCTTTTCCATGCACTGCCTGGTGTTTACAGCCAGATCAGTAACTTAAGGTGTGAATTGGGATTGTTTCACAAGTAGCCAGTTTACAAGCTCATTTTAAACTAAATCCTCGTCAGACGATAGCGATGGTTAAAGATTAATGCCTGATATGATAGCACGTTTCAAAATGAAGTGTATGTTGTAGATTATTGCACAATATCAGAAGCCATTTTTGCAAAGTTCAGAATTGACTCCATGGACATTGAAAACTAACATTCTAATGTCGTATGAAGCAAATGTTCTTTTTTTTGACAAAAATACAGTTCATACTATACTTTTGGGAAGTAATGAATACATATGGTGCTTTTTATGCTTTTTAACAAACTAGTCCTTGTACTTCAACTCTTTAAGCTTTAATATAATCAATATTGATGGTGAAATATAACTGTCTGGACTCCTGAAAGATCTATTTTATTGAGTTCTGCTTTTGTTTTCACTAAGTAATCTTTAAATCATAAATGCAAAGCATTATTTTGGTTCATAACATTCCAGCTCTTCCTTTAAATATGGAAGATCTACCTATCTATCATGTGCTATGAAGCATACACAGTACACATGCTGCATGTATACTCTCTACATATGCAGACACACATGTGCACCCATGCATGGGTTTACATGTATATGATGTAGATATTTGTCGTGAGGGGTTTCTGCTGCTCTGTGACATTTTGCCACAGGCTGCACTTTTCATGCCCGACAATGTATGAATGAACGGCCTAGTTTCCCCCTTAACCCCTGCAGTAAGGTGACCCCTTTCCCCACTTTAATGAAAACTGAGCCAGTGCCAGACACAAGCTGTATGGGGAAGCACCTCACTACTATTCCTCTCAAGGGTTTTCCTCCCTGTTTATTTGCAGCACACTGATGCATTTAGGTGTATTTAAATATACTGACAAGAATTCCATATTTATTTGATGTCAACAGAAGGATAATTTGGTTATACTAACTCAGCTGTCACAGGGTCCCACTGCATTTATTTAAAAACCCAAAATGTGTGGATGTCAAAAAAAGGGGTGTAGATGTTTGTTTTGACAGTTCATATAAAATCAATCTGTAAATGCTAAATATTTAGGTGATGAATGAGTCAAATTTGTTTATTGTTTGGTGTTCCATTATTCTATCCATTGTCTACGCCCACTTATTGCTAAACAAGGTCACTGAAACTGTAGACTATTACCAATCATACAGAAGACACAAAAAGTTCTTTACTTTTTAAAACAAACATCTTAACCAATTTAACAATCTTCATCTTGTGCAGAACGGGCTAAGTTGCTCTTATAGTTATGAAATACCAAGACAGCAAACTTTCTTACTCCTTTCAACCCTGACAAAGGCAGCGCAGACCAGTCCCACATTCTAATCTTTAAAATAAAAGCCCTAGACATATACTATTTGCAGTCCTGTATTTCATCATTTTCATGTCGTTTATTCGTCCCCCGCGTCTCCCTCCCCCCCCCCCCCCCCCCCCCCCCCCCCCAAAAACCTCCGTGTCTGTATTAGT